CTCCTTGGATATTTTATCAGCTTGTGCTTTAGCAAATGGTATTTGGTTCCATTTCTAATAAAAAATTGTCTACTTTTTATGTCAAAATGAAAGTGGGGAGGACATTTCTAACATGCTGAGTAGGAGCATAAAGCCAGCTGCAGGAATAAGACACTTTGGGACCCAAATTTACTTTTGTTTCCTTTGAAGATTTAACTTTTTTTAAAGAAACTTAGAAAAAAATGAGGGAGCCAAGAGGTGGAATGTGAAAAAAAATAAATGTTTTTAACACTCAGCATCTGTAAACATGACAGTTAATAAGTTGGGTGAGACAAAGTGCCATTTCCTTCAAACTCCTTAATATTCTGATCAAGTTATGGTTTTTCTCTTGGTTGTCTTTTTTATGATGAATTTCACCCACCCCTGTGTGTGTGTGTGTGTGTGTGTGTGTGTGTGTGTGTGTGTGTGTGTGTGTGTGTGTGTGTGTGTGTGTGTGTGTGTGTGTGTGTGTGTGTGTGTGTGTGTGTGTGTGTGTGTGTGTGTGTGTGTGTGTGTGTGTGTGTGTGTGTGTGCGGGTGCGGGTGCGGGCCAGCTCCTTGAGGCCCAGCACATTAACTCTGTGACTGGCAGATCTCATTTGGTGCTTAATTTCACAAAGGTGAGCGCTCATCTGTGAGGGCCCATTAGCCGACGGCTAACAAGCCAGCTGAATAATGTCCATTTTTCCTCAGAGTGATGTTTACATTCACAAGGCTGCTGTGATGCTGTAGTTTATAGCTTGGCTCAGTTTTCTACATTTTCTAAGTTAATTTTATCAACTGAAAAAGACAAAGAACATTTCTTTTGTTTTCAAAATGCACCAAAAAATACAATTTAAGCTCAGTTTTGCATCGTTCGCTCAAGCATTCCTCTTCATCTATCTTCATGCAATTGTTCTTGATCGTCTTGAGAAGTGTGTTGGTATCACTGGCATTCAGCACTCCATTGGATGAGTTCTATCTGTCAGATAGGTAAGTGACGAGTTACGTTACGTTAGGATTGGAAGTTTTAGTTCAAGTGATGCTCCTCTTAATTATGGGGTCCCACAGGGCTCTTTACTCGGCCCTCTGCTTTTTAATCTATACTTGCTCCCACTTGGTGCTATTTTTGTTTGCTTAACTTAGATTTACAAGTCAGTTATGTTGTTCGATCATGCTTTTTTCAGCTGAGAAATCTTTACAAGGTGAAGTCTTTTTGCTTAAGAACAATTTGGAGAAACGTATACATGTATTTATAACTTCTCGTTTAGACTATTGCAATAGTCTTTACCACAGCATTAATTATGGGTGTATTGCTAGGTTGCAGCTAGTTCAGAATGCTGCAGCCCGTCTTTTGACTGGCACTTCAAAATTTGATCACATCACTCCAGTTCTTGCCTCTCTGCACTGGGTCCTGGTTAAGTTCTGTGTGCAGTTTAAGAATTTGGTTCTGGTTTATAAAAATATAAATGGCTTGCTCTATCTCTCTCATGTGTTATGTTCCATCTCGTGGACTGAGGTCGGTTGACCAGCTTAGATTGAAGGTCCTGTGGGCGAGGCAAGAGAGAAAAGGCTTTAGGTCTTTCTCAGATGCAGCAACTGCTCTTTGGAGTATTTATTTATTTACTTATATTTAAGGAGGATAAAAACCACTTGAGATGAAGCATCTCGTTTACAAGTGGGTCCTCCTGGAAACAAAGATGCAAATATAAAGACAAGATAACAGAGTGATAACTTGAATTCAAAACAAAATGACTAATTAACACTACCACAATAAAAAAAATTATAATAATCATAATAATTATAAAATATATTAATAATATGTTAATATATATATAATATGTTGCCCGTTACCATTAGGCAGGCATCATTTGTTGTTAATTTTAAAATGTGACTGAAGACTTATTTTTACTCCAAACACCTTGGGCTGACAGGGTGGTCCTGTTTTTTTATGCCTCTTGTCAGATTTTAATTTTTGTGCTTATTTTATGTTTTTTTAATTGACTGTTGTCATTTTATTGTATTTTCATTTTTTTCTGTTAAGGTCTTTGGGCAACATTGTTGCATTTAAAGTGCTATACAAATAAACATTGATTCATTCATTTAAGATACATATCGACTTTACATCACTGTGTCTTCTTTTTTCTTCCAGCTTTTACAACTTAGCAATTTTCTTCTGCATTTGTTTTTGAAAATATACAGTTTTCTTGAAAATAAACAAACTTTCAAAAACCCTAAAAAAAATTACAAAAGTAAACAATAACAATTTACATCATTCTTTTGTCAGCTACTAAAACTGATTACTCATAAAATCTGTCTGAGATCACCTTTGATTATTCAGCAGCGGCTCAGGACTGAAGGAACGAGATTATGTGGATTTAAAATCCTCCTTTACTCAGCGCAATCAGGACTATTTAGTTATTTGATTATTCTCCATACATCTGATCAAAGCCTTGACACTGATGAAAAGATTTGAATTCAGAATAAGCAAAAAATCTTTAGTTTTATTTGTGTTTTTATGCAAAAAAAAGGGCTAATTATGGAAGCATGTCAGCACAGCCATGCTGACAACGTCGGTAAAGTTATTAATCTGGAAGATTAAAGTTGCATGGTGTTTTGTTTTAAAGCATGGGGCAGTGATGGCTACAGTCCAGCTCACATGACAGGATTTTCTAATTGTCTGACAATTTTCAAACCATGAAAGACCAATTTGTCTCACCGTGTGTAGTGTGCAGCAAATTCTACACACTACACAAACACACCACTTTCAGACATTCCTCACTCAGACGGGAAATCTCGCAAAATAAAACGTGATTTTGAAGTAATCAGACATGGTAGAAGAGGTGTGTGCTGTGTGCTTCCATCACTGTTCTTTCCGATTGGCTACATGTCACATTCAACAGGCTGCACATTTGTTTCTTTCCTAAAAATCTAACATGGATTTATGATCCTAGCAGTCTCTGCGTCCATCTGACCAGACCAGAATGCTCCTAACACACAAGGCAGGATTATCTGACAGTTTTTTTTTTATAATTTTTTTTTTATTATTTATTTATTTATTGCCTTAACAGCGTCTTTAAGATTGTCAGAAAGGGAGGAGCGGGTTAAATAACAGCATCAATATCCTGTCATGTGAAACAGACGTTAATGGTACGGGCTTCATCATTCTGAAAAGTCGCTTTAATGAACATGTTAAGAGTTGTTTCATTTTAGGTCAAATAAAAAGTGTGCCAACATTAAATTATATGTAAATTAACCTTACCATTAAAGCAACACTAAACAGTTTTAACACTTTAAACTATTGGTTTCAGTGGTTCTTGAGCAACTTCATTTGAACATCTGTGATGAGCAGAAACGGCACTAAACAACTGAAGTGGTTCAGGTTGGAACACTAGTGGTAGGTCTCTATCTGCTTTATGGCTTCATTGTGCTGGTAGCTCATTTAAAGGCTAGCTGTTAGCTTTTTCAGTTTGCCGACCGTCAATAAAACACACAAAAGTAAAAGCAATAGGTCTGTTTTTTGTTGGCATCATGGAGGAGCCTGGAAGTAAAAGGAAAAGAGTTTGTAATTGGAGGTGAAGCAAAGAGCTAAAACCAGGGTGAACATCGGCACAGCCTACACTGGTTGGTTTCAGTTTTAAAACATCAAAAAAGTAGGAAAGTCCAAATTTTTTTCTTTGTTTCACAAAAATGTGTAAAATACAAAACCTTGTCTGATGATACCTGCAAACCCTGCAGCAGTGGTGTTTACATCAATGGTAATTCTGCTGTCAGCCAGTTGGGGTAGAAGTGGGAAAATTATGAAGTGCTACTTTAGGAATGCTCAATAGCATCCCAACACATAATCCTTTAATATTAACTAGAGCAACACTAAAGCAATCTGGTTTTTGGTGAATTGTTAAACCAAAGTGTTACTTTAATCCTGAATCAATGTGGACCACACGGGTCTCATCCCCAGTTTGACAGCATCTGATCACTAATTTTGGACCACATTTTTCGTCAAATTTATGAATAGAAAAGTTAACAACCCATGGAAAAACTAGCGCTCGGGCTAACACTGAAGGAATATTCACAAACTTGTGCAACGCTGAAGTGTCCTTGTGGATAAAATAAGGAGTATGGTAAATTGAATAAGAATAAGAATAGGCTTGGTGTCGTTAACGTTATCTGTAGATTTATGTGAGAGTGAATAAGTAACCTATTTATTCTTTCAATCTTCAAATCTTCTGTTTTATTTGCAGCTTCAAAAGTTGAATTATTATTATTTATTTTCTTTGCATGAAAAGATCTGCCTTGTAGTTCCGATAATTCTCTTCATCAGTTTGAGCTTCGGGGTTTAAACAGCAGTCTGTGTGCAAGGATGCATTCGTGGGGTTTACGTTGGTACCTTTTACAGTCTGTCAGCATGAATCATAAAGGTTTGAATTTCATCATTTTGCAAACCCATAATAAACATAAAAATGTGAAGGAGAAACAGAAAACGTTAACTTGCAGAAAAATGACTAAAATATGTTTGAATTTGCCTTTTGTATCATGCAATGTCCAAGAAAAGCAATTAAAAAGATTTCTGTTCTTCCCTGTCACTTTTAAAGTCTCTTTTTTTTTGCAGCATATGTAAACCAAATCAAATTTCTGATTTCTGCTCTCTTTTAATAATCTTCTTCTAAAAACAGAGCGACACTTTCTCATATAAATAACTTCATCGAAACGCACCAGCATTCAGAAAGGATTACGTCAGATTAAAATCAGAGCCGAGGTGTGATCATTCACAGTAAAAGATACATAATAATAAATACAATTTGACACCTTTTTATTAGTCTCATTGATATGTAAAGAGGGCTCTGGCTCAGTTTCACACCACTTACAGCCAACTCAAACTGTTAAATTCCTGCTAAGCACTGATGAAATCTAAGGCATTTAAAATGTAATTGACTCCCCTTTTTGATCCTGTTTGGTGAAACATTCACGTGTGTGTATGCTTTGTGTTTTTCCTGCACAGGTAAGCATGGGCAGCCTGGGTGTTTGGGCTGTGGCTGCTCTGCTGGGAACATCGGGTTGTTGGCTGGCTGAAGGGCACAGGAGCAGCAGACAAAACGGTGTGGACACAGCCCCCAAGTTACACACCTCCTACCTGGAGCCGCAATCTCTGGTAAATATTTTTTTGTTTTGTTTTGTTATTTATTTATATATATTTTTTTTAGAAAAGTAAAGATGCTGCTGGGTCTCATTGGATAAATGTGCTCAGAAATGTAACTCATCAAAGTCTGGAGAAAGTGCTTTAAAAATTATTTCCCCTTATTAATTTATGGGGTTTTGCTTTTTTTGTCACACCTAAGTCAAAATAATTTACCCAAAGGAAACCTGAGAAAATACAAAATGTAGTTGAATGATGGGTTAGGGTGGTGAATTACTTGATTCATTTTAGGTGCTTTCTGTGAAAAATGCATCCTAAACCTAATAATAACATACTTGGTGTCAACAACTGCAATCAACTAGCCTAGTGGAATAGACCAAATTCTTGCTTTGCAAAGTTTGGTCTATTGGAACCTCCACAGCCCCTAGCAGAATTCTGGCTGGCCAATCACAGCTCTCTATAGGGGTTTCAATCCTACAGAGCACTGTAATTGGTCCACAATGGTGGGCCAATCACAGCGCTCTTTCTGCTATGTGGACTAATCGGGGCCATCCATTTATCTGGTGGGTGGGACGATGCAACGGAATAGAACAAAATGGGGACAGCTCGTTTTAAACGGCTTTTACATCAATTTTGGACAATTTGGACGTGGGCTTTATTAGAATCAAGAGCAAATAGATGTATTTAAGTTCTTTTTTTAGAAAAATGATGTAATTTTGCCTTCTTCAACAGTGGACTGCCCTGTTTACTAGCATCCATATCAGTCAGTAAGTCACATTGTTCATTAGCATGCAGGGATTGTTTCCGAGACAACGGTAGAACCCGCCCCACGACTGAGATCCATCAATGGAGCATTGGCTTGCCCGGCTATTGTCACTATTTGTGACAATTAGTAATGAGTCGCTAATATCTCTGTGAACAAACTCTTTTTGCAGAATAGTTTTAATTTTTAACATGAAAGGTTAGACATTCTCCTTCAGGCTTTTCTGGTAGAGAGCAGAAGTTATGGATCCACCAAATATGATGGCGTTTCATGAAATTCAGTGTTATTTGTACACATTTGTCTCATCACTGCAGTACAGAATTAGTCTGGAAAGCCATCCAATATATATATGAATATATAGTCTTGCCATGACCCATAGACAGATCTTAGTCATGGGGCATAATTTACGGTTGTCTTTCAAACTGTCTCTCCATCCTTTTGGACAACAAACCTTTTGATGTGCTCACTGCTATCAGTCAACAGGGTAGTCCACCGTACACTGTTGAAGGAGAAGCAAATGCATCTTTTATGTAAATAAAGGACTGAAGTACCTCTATCTGCTCTTGACTGAAAGAAAAGCTCAAGAGTAAATAGTCCAAAGTTGATTCCAAAGCTGTTTCAAACGAGCTGCCATCATCTTAGTTGTTTTTGTTTATCTGCATAATGGGACCGCCATGAAGGGTTGCATGCTCACAGTAAAACCATTTTCCTGTCTACATGTTTCACGTGCTGTATGTCTGCTCCTGGTATGGTCAAACCAAATTTCATTGTACTGGGACGCTGGTTCAATGACAAATAAAGCTATCCTATCCTACATCCCCTCATCCCACCCACCAAACCAATAGAGCGTTGTGAATGGCATAACACAATACTGCTCAGGCCAATGGTAGACCTGCTGAAGTAAAAATGGAGCGTGGTTAGACCGACATGCAGAGAAATAAAATTTTGTTTTGGCAACTGTCTGTCCAGATTTTTAGGCTAGTACAGGACATGTTTTGGTTTGTATTTCTGGTGTTAATATTTTAGGGGTTACATCACTGATGATGCATCCCTGCGCATACTCAATAGGCGGCCCGCGGACCAGGTTTGGCCCATGGGCCGCCTCTTTGAGACCACTGGGTTCAAATAAAATAACAAACTACGTAAAACATTTCATTTGGTGTTATTTCTTACACCCTTGAACTGTGGCATACATATTTGACTCTAAAGCAGCTCAAAGACATTAAACGCTAATATATGAACCCAATATGAATTTTATAACTTAAAGAATTATGTGTCCTATAGGTTTTCAGTATTTTTTCAGATTTTGTGAGTATTTGCAAAGCATGTTTTTCTCAGCCTGAGGTGTGACTGTTGAATGAGGAAACAGATTTTTTTTACTTTGTTTAATCTGGCTGGAGTAATGAACCCTCCCCAAGCCGAACCCTGTGCTCCAAGGTCGTTTTGTTGAGTGGCCCTCGGACAGAAAGAACATATGGAGAATGCAATATTTAGATCCTGCAAAATAACCGCCCGCATTGCAAACAAAACAGAGTTTTTTTTCCAATGCCAAGGCAAAAATGATGCTTTAAACAAATTAAACGTCACCAATTCCACTGAATCTAACTAATTAGACTGCATTAACCAACATGCATGGCTCACTGTTGTGAGAGAAAGAACAAAGCAAATTCCTGAATTTCTTTAGCTGAAAGACAAGAGTCACTTCTACTAATTATTAATGATCACAACGTGGGGAAAAAAGCGTCCGTGCCTTTAGATGTCAATAGTCAATCTGATGCTGTTCAATACAGGCCTAGTTTCAACAGCAGCTTAATACAGTCCTGTGGTGAGTTACTATGGACTGTCTGTTTAACAGTCTAATGACACTACGGTTTAATTCTGTTTTATAATAATACTTAAATAATCTGATAAGTTGCCTAACTTTCTATTTTAAACACTTTTTTTTTATTTTAAAGATAGTCAAGTTCTTACAGGCAACTGTCTGCAAACACATAAGTTATTCATTCCTACATGAGATACGTTGGCTCAGTAGCTCCCTGCAACCCCCCCCCCTCCCCCCCACCAAAAAAAAACAAGAATAAAGCTTCTAACAAACTCTTTGTGCAGAACAGAAGCACACAGTCCTAGTAAGTTGTCCCTGCACAAGCATACAGATGCATGCCACACAGCCCTGCAGAAAGCACATAATTGTTTGTACAATCGGCTCAAAAAATGACTGTCGTCTTCTCTCACTCACTTCAGGCTTTGCCAAGTCGCTGGTCCGCTTTAGAACGACGTTTTCCTCCTCAAATCCCTTGACGCAACAAACAAATTCCTATGCATTTCAGCTTCTGTTTATCTGTCCAAATTGGAACTCGAGTGGTGCAAGAATGTAACGTTAACCCTGGAGTGAATCATGCAAATTCCTGAATTTGCATGAATTCATTTGTAAAGCCTTTGAGAATAAATGAATTGTGCCAGCTTTTTTTAAAGACCCTAAACAATGCAAAAGCATATTCTCTTAGGGATGGAACAGGCAGTACAAAAGGAGAACATAAAATTAGCTGAAGTAGTCCGGATAAGACCTTCCTGCTAATAAAATGGGTCAGTGTAGAAAGAAACTATATCTTTACTGGCATTTGTTCTGAATTCATCTCATGACAACATAATGAAAAGATGCCATGTTTCACAAAAATATTATGTTTTGTTTACAGATGGCCCCCAGAGCAGAGTGGTTAAGTGGTTTTGCAAAATAAAAAAACAGAAACACTAAACATTACTCACTGGATTAAGGGCTCAAGGGTAAGAGCCATTGAATGAACAGGATCAAAAATGCAATAAAACCATGAAGAATGAAAATAGCCTGATTGCTGATTCCTTTCTCAAGTTTCATTTTCAAAAATGGGGCTGTCCCTCATTACATTTACATTTCGATTATAACTCCAACCTATAAAGTTTTCTTGTTCTTTTTTTATTTAGGCCCTGAAGGTTATTGTTTCCCTCATAATTTCTGTGGACTTTCTCGTCATAACATTACACTGAAAGCTGAATGGAACATTTGAAGAACAGACCATATGCAGTAGCTTTTTATGGGAGATACGTGTTGAGGTAATTGCTGAGAGAGTCAGTTTTTTCTCTCTAGATGTTTTTCTTCTGTGATTCATAGTTTGAAATGGCTCAAACTGCAGCAAAGCCTTAGTCTGGCAAGCCATCCTATATATGTGAATATATAGTCTGGCCACATATAAAAATTCTGTACATACATTTGTTATCTCTAAGTAGTATCAATGGAATAAGGAAATAATCACAGTGGCAGATACTGAAAACTTGACATGGGCACAAAAGATGAGCAAAATGTCTAAGCAGGGTGGCCATTTTCAAAGTTTTATGCTTTTGCAGCACCTTGAGTTTTATTTAGAAACACTTCGCTATACAAAAATAACTTCATTTTGTTTCTTCAACATTGCTGAACTTCATTAATGAAGAACTTCAAAATCCTCTTTATGTTAATAAAGTCATCAAGCTATTCACAAAAATTCCTAAAAATTATTTAATGTCATTTTTTTCTTCTAAGAAAGTAAAAAAAAATTAGTTATTAATGAGAAAAAGAAACTCCCCACAAACAGATACAGAAACAACTTATTAAAGAAGATTAATTAGGTTTGGTTTATTTTAAGGAGACAAAAGTAGGGAGGCAATTCTCTACAGCAGGGGTATTCAATTTCATTCAGCAGGTGATTAACATGCTTCTGCAGAGTCTGATCAGCTGCTGCACAGGTGATTCAACCACTGAATAAACTGTGCTGGAGCTGATAAACCACTAACACATGCTGGGTACTGGCCCTCCAGGACCGGAATTGAATACCCCTGCTCTTCAGCATCAACTGTCTCATAGTGGACTTTTGTCCCTTTTTTTAAAGCAACAGATTAATTCTATAAGAGCACACAATTAGAATCAGCTGTAATTTTTCTTTTTTGCTTTTCCATCCAAAGCCTCCCCCACATTATCAATATCCTTGTCCTGCAGTACTAAACAAATCTGGCTACAGTTGAAATGCTTATTTGGAGCATAATGACAACAGTCCTAAAAAACATTTTAGGAATCTTTGCAGCAAATAGGTTTTGAATCAAAGTTGCTGGCATAGCAGTTTACCTAGAAGACTGAAGGGAATTTATATTGGAGCACAATTCATACCAGACACAGGTTTGTTCAGAGTACCCTGTTGTTCGAATCATATTCATTGAAAAGATCTCAGTAGCAGTAATGTCAGAC